ATGTTCTAAATGTTCAAAATAACCAAATTAATGCAGTCTACAATAAGGGGAATCATTTGGTGGAATATATGCAAAACATATACAAATATCATTTTCAAGACAAAAGAAATCTTTACATGCTTTGACAACTATAAAACCAGCTGTGTGTTTTTCAAGAACAGTAATGCTATTTTGTATGATGTTTCTAATATAAAGACAAACACCACCGTGACCTCTATAACTATGTCTGTTTGATGCTACACTTTCAGGCCTAGGCACACATATCGAAACATAATCATCAATACAATATTCATCATTTATGCATTGCCACGTTTCACTAACAAAAATGAAGTCAAAATTTGTGACAAAGTTTAAGAATTCATTGTCCGTTAAATATTGCTTTAATCCTTCAACATTCCAAGATAGGATTGATAAAAAATTCTGGAAACAAAGTGATCCCTCGAAATCATTAATCACAACAAAATAACATAAGAATTGCAGACTCGGTTTGATTAAGTCTGTACATGAGGGATAATGAATAAGTGCAACATCCCTCACGCCCCCTAGCACCGGCTTGAGCGGTACTCAATTCTAAACACTTTATAGTGTTGGTACACTCTTCTCGTCCGTCCTACGTAGTATGGTTGGGATCGGGAGAGTAAAGCACATTGTAAATGTACAGCTTATCTCTGACAAGATAAGCTGTGTTTCCAGCTTCGCGTAATTTCTTTATCTTCGGGATAAGCTGCTTCCTACGTGCTTGAACTTCTTTCGGGAGCTGGTCAAACACTGAATATGGGGTGTCTTTGAGTTTAACAGATTTAAAGGCAACCTTAACTAAGATTTTTGAGTCAGTGTCAAAGTTAATGATGATTGGCCTTGTTTTGCCTGTAATGGGATTGCTCGGAGACCGATGGGCACGATTAATGCGAATGCAGGATCTAGCGTCTTTGATATTCAAAACTTTCTCACAAAACACATACACTTTATCAGAGCAATTTTCGGGAGCAGCAACCCCTGCATATGAGTTCGGAGTTGTGACCATTGTAGGTAGAGATGTTTCCATTCCACTTTCTTCAACCTCGATTGGTTCAGGTTGTGGGTGTATTGGGACTGAAGGGGCTCCGCCAATGGAATCTTGCAGCTGTTTTGGATGTTCAGAGATACCCAAAATTACCATATTGTCTCGCATAGAACGGCACCGGAGATCTGTGATATCATCTTGAAGTTGTGCAAATTGTTTACTTAAAGTCATATTTCTGCCTGTCAGCACTTTTATTTCACCCTGTATACATTGGATATTTTTATCGTGTGTTATTGAGTTTACATGACGGGGTCATATTTGTCATTGACGAGAGTTTAACTCGTAATAACGTCTTGGATTTGTGATTTTGCTTCGAAAATTTGGATTCTATTTGTGGAAATATCTGTTTCTATATAATCTATATAATCAAGTTTGGATAATTTACTGACTACATAATCGAGTTTAGCAGATATATAGTCATGATAGAGCTTATGTGGGTCTGTATGATTGGGATGCTGTGCTTGGGCACCAACGTGATGATCACGAGTAACCCCAAACGGGTTCGAAGTTATGCAGTTTGATGGAAATGTGAATGTGAATTAGATTTCGCTCCCTTTTTATTGTTTACATCGGCGCTGGCCGCCATTTTTATTTCTATGTATTCAGTGTCACTTGAATTTGAACCAATCTGTACCTTCTGACGTTTTCTTTGCTGCTTTGTTGACATACGTACTACCTCATTTATACGATAATCACTTACAAACTCTTTTTGTACTATAAAGTCTGTAGATTTTGTTATATAATTTTTTTTAAAATGCCGAGTCATAAAAAAATAATGCCGAGTCAAAAATGAATGCGTCCCCCATTGTTTTTTTTTGTAACAACTCTTATCAAACATTTTCCAAAAAAAGGAAAATGGTTGACGGGTAAACAAAGAAACTATATGTATGGATTTTGAGGGTTAAAATGTAGTTAAAACCTAGTGAACCATTTTGGGAAAAGAGGATTTTTTTTAAATTTTCCCCCCTTAAAAAATTTTTGATAAAGACTGGAAGACTTGGTTGGTCGTTAAATTCAGTCAACTGCGGATTTGGATGTCATCGTCTTGCAGGAAGTTGTGAACGATGCCATTAGTTCATGTCCTAGAGGAAAAGTGGGTGGAGATGACAATTTACAATATGAACAACTAATAGTGGCGTTATGTCTCCTATTCTAGCTAAAGTTACGTCACCGACAACATGAAACGAGATGTTAAAGAGAAGACAACATTGACAACTACTGTGCAATTATATTGACCTCTGTAGTTATGAAAGTTCTTGAAGTGGTAGTTTTAAAAAGGTGTTTCGCGTTCGGAGTTGTTGTTTAAACTTTTAAATAAGAGCCGAATTGACTCAACGTTGTTTCTTTGTATACAAACACGCAGGGTTGTATAAAAAAACAAGATGGCTTGATGATCTTCAAGGTACAAGACAGGGGGCCAAATGTTCGTCGAATTTTTAGCTTGCGTACAAAATGGACTTACCAACGAATTATAGGGTAGTGGTTTAGGTATTTGCATGTACGGAGTGGATCTAGGTTCACCCACAGTAGCAGACGACATGGTATTTATATCATTCTCTTCAAATGGTCTGCAGTCAATGTTTAATATTTGTTATTCATATGCATGTCGGCTTTCTTACCGAAATTGAGCAAAAAACATGTTTAATAACAGACTTATTAGATACAATATGAAGTTTGACTTTTGTTACCTGAGATTTGCATCTGATACGAGAGGTGTTAAATATGAATTCAACAGGGTCAATTTTCAGAAATGCTTAACAAACAGTGCCAAAATCATTATCTCAATCCTTTAGAATATTCTACACCATGTGATATACTTAGTTTTAATATTTTAATCAAATTTTAAATGCGTTTTCATAATCTTTTCGAGGTATACTGTTCAGGCACTGGAAAATAGCCGAACCGAGATTTTTTGCGTTTGAAATTTTCTTCCGGCAAGGTGTTTTTGAACCTCTGAATTAGGAAAAAGTCACTATGGGCAAGATCTGGCGAGAGGGCGTTTCATATATTCTCGTACAATGGGCGCTTTGTGTGACGAAGCATTGACATGCAACAACCTAACACCACAGAGATCAGTTGGTTGTCGACGGCTTTTGAATATTTCTTTAATTTTCGAAGGACTTTATCTTTATAAAACTGGGCATTACAGATTTACCTTTTAATACGGCAATTTGAATGGCGGGACCTTGAGATTGGTAAACTATTTGACGCTCATGGATCATTTTTCTAGGCAAGGTGTAATATTACCCATGTATCTTTCGCTTGGGGCCATAAAAGTGAACCCATGTCTCATCGCCAGTGATTATATTTGCGAAAGATCGATTGTTGCATTAAGGGAACTGTTTTAACAATTGTTCGAAGATTCTTACTCGAGAAAGGAAATGCTCTTTGTAAGGAGATGGGATATCCATATGGCACTTATCCTTCTCGTTTTTAAATCACGTCTGAGAATTGCATGAGAGGCTCCTACAGAGATACCAACGCATTTAGCTTTGTACTTTGTTGTAAATCTTGCATCAGAAGCAATCAAATCCTTTACTTTTTCATCCATTTTTGGCAAAGTTGTAGTTTTTGAGGATCATATTTTACTTAATCCACATCACTTTTAAATTTCTTACACCACTGTGTCACAGATGTAAATGAATGTGCATTGTTTCCATAAACACGACATGTTTCATTTAATATGTATTTCACCTGTATACCAATAATACAGCGGTTCTTGATATAGGACCCTCTTTGGTTAGTGGAAGAGACCTTTTCCCAACCATTTTAGCTTTAGTATACACGAGAAGATAGCGTTAATCGAGCTATTGTCAAAGCTTGGCTGAAATGATTTACACATGTATTGTATAAAATGACAGCTTACATCTATGTGATACATACACCTTGTTCGTGGAAGACGTGCTAAAAAGCGAGATATTAGCCTCGTTACATTCATAATTGAACACCCCTGCTATATGTAGGCTTTTACAAAAAGGAATGCATTTGAAAAACCATTAACTCCCATTAAAAAAATGATTGATGCTATAATCCAAATGACCAAAAATTAAAAAAAAAAACATTATTTCCAAAGATATTTTCGAATTTACATTTCATGTAAATAAAAGGTTATAGAAATCTATTTCAGATAAAGTCTCAGCCAAATGTTTCAATAACAAATGAATGCATAGATTTTAATGATTACATATAATGCGAATAAACATTTGCAGTACATATTCAACATATTATTGGATGTTTGGTAATTTTTTTAGAAGAATAATTATTTACAAATATAAAATTTCACTTTAGTGTTGTCACATCCTTAATTACAACATACAGGATCTTTAAATAGTTTGTTGGCATACATGTGCTATTGCATTATATTTGTTGAATTTTCGTAAGTTGTAAATATGTGTGATATTTGTTTTATTGCTCTGTTCTTTATTCAGTGGAGTAATGAAAGATAGTTATGTTCTTATTTTGATTTCTACACGATCAAAAATGAGCGTAAAAATCGTAAATGTCTGCAACCTAATTGTAGCGATATCGAAAGTACACATTCTGTTTACAAGACTAACTCGGTCTTTCGGTCATCCGAATATCAATAAACATTGGTTTAAGTTGCAGTCCAAATTTAGCAGTAAATTGCCGAATTACATCACGGATGGCTTTTTTTATAAAAAAAATGTATCATCTGTTATAAGATGATTACTCTTTTGTGATGCACCGTGAAGCTATTACGGTAAAAGTTTGTTTGCACACCCGGATTAGATGGGAAAATATATATTTTGTAGTGCTTCTAAATGTTAAACACTGCACATGGTCTTCATTTGCATGCTAAAATTCGTACACAGACAATTGTTTTATTATATTGTACATTAAAGAAGACAGTCACATTAACATACAACAAAAACAGAAATATTAAAAAAATAGTTTCGTTTATATTCATCCGCATTGTTGAACCATGTGAAGTAATGGCTGGATTATCCGGAAAGGCGTAATCCAGCACATATCAGCTGATATCACATGCTATTTTCAATAGCAGGATAAAGACTGGTTTCACTGTTAAAGATTCTTAATGATACTAAGAGCATATGATAACAAGTCAATGATAGTTTTTCTTTGAAACGAAATATAGATTATTTTATTTCTGTATTTTCATTGAATAAAATGTAGATTTGTCATGGGGCATAACGCCGTAATATTATAAAGTTAATCCATTTAAGCTGTATGATAGGCTTGTAATAATGAATATAAACAAAACTGGATTAAGTAACTTCTCATGCTTCTATATAGTCAAATGAGTCATCAGAATCTGTATCTGAATCGTCATCACTACTAGACAGAGCTTCACTGAGAGTTTGACCAGGAACATTACGCCGTGGCATGAGAGGCGGCTGTTGATTTGTTAATACAGGTGCCGGTGCTGGGGCCGGTACAGGTGAGGAACTCGACTGGCCCGCCAGGTTCAGAGGTGGGACGGTTGGATTTTCAGGACTGTTATTGTCATTCGGCAAGGGGTCTGATTGTGTGTTACTTGTAATATTCGTCGTAACAACACCAGCATTTCCGTTTGGAAGAACTCCATTAGTGGTGCCACCTATTTGTGTTGTTGCCATTCGAAAGTTTTCTGGAACGACGAAACGTGTATTTGGTACCCCATCAGTTTGTCCTGCTGCATTTCCTGGTGTCGGATGTAGCCCAACGTCACTGTATCGTGGAGGCGGGGAAAGCGTTGAAACTCCTCCATTTCCAAACATAGGTGGGGCATCGATACCACGATTGCGAGTACTCCATTTGCTGGCTACATGGAACGGTTGTACTTCAATTTGACACGCTTGTTTTTCTCTTGCTCTCTTAGATTTCTTCCATTTGTGACAAACTATCAGAGTGACAATTAAAATAACAACTACACCCGATGCTGCGCCAATTATGATAAACAACATTATCCCCTTTGCTTCCTCTTCGTCATCTAATAGACTAGCTAAATTAAAGCAAAGAAAGAAAAGATATAAAATATTTATGATATAACTAGCACTGCCACTATCAAGGCGTGAATACCCCCGCATACCACTTTGTCAGAATCAACAGTGGCCATTTAGAGCTCAAGGACAACCTCCCTGCCAAATCTGAGGTTACTAAGCCAGTGCATTGCTAAGTTATGTATTCTACGTGCTTCAAATGAGAAAATGTCAAAATCAATACATTGCGGACAGGACATTCTTTAGCAATTGAGAAGAAAAGCTTTTTTGTCAAGGTCCCTGTGACCTTGACCTTTGACCCAGTGACCTCAAAATCAATAGGGGTCACCTTATAGTCATAATCAACATCCATGCCAATTATGAAGACTTTGGGTCAAAGGAATTTTAAGTTAATGGGTGGACAAACTTTTTGAAGTCAAAGTCCCTTTGACCTTGACCTTTGATCGAGTGACCTCAAAATCAAAAGGGTGATTTACTAATCATGATTAACATCCATGCGAAATATGAAGACTGTGGGTCAAAGGAATCTAAAGTTATTGGGCAGAAAAACTTTTTGAAATCAAAGTCCCTGTGACCTTGACCTTTGACCTGGTGACCTCAAAATCAATAGGGGTCATCTACTAATCATGACTAACCTGCATTCCAAATATAAAGACTGTAGGTCAATGGAATGTTAAGTTATTGGGCGGACAAACTTTTTGAAGTCAAGGCCCCTGTGACCTTCACCTTTGACCTGGTGACCTAAAAAAATCAATAGGGGTAATCTACTAATCATGACTAACCTCCATGCCAAATATGACGACTGTAGGTCAAAGGTATCTTAAGTTATTTGGCGGACAAGCTTTTTGAAGTCAAGGCCCCTGTGACCTTGACCTTTGACCTAGTGACCTCAAAATCTATAGGGGTCATCTACTAATTATGACTAACCTCCATGCCACATATGAAGACTAAGGGTCAAAGGAATCTTACGTTATTGGGCAGACAAGAAAAAACCGACGGACAGCCGGACGGACGGACGGACGGATGGACGGACAAGCTGATTCCATTATACCCCCTTACAACTTTGTTGTGCGGGGGTATAATTATTCTGAATGAGAAAAATGTTTTATACTTATGTCCATCATAAGTACTAGCACATATGATGAAAGCTACCTGACGATTGGATGTGTCTATAACTAAAGTTAATAAATCAAATACATTATCGTATAAAAACGGAAAAGAAAGGGAACACGATATGATTTTGTGTTTTGTTGATATTTCATTTTTATATCGTATCATTGTACACGTGCGCAATTCATCTTGTAAAATCTACGATAAAATTCCGGACACATATCAAATAATGGTGTACAAACAAATTGAGATTTTCAACATCAAAGGCTCGGTTCGATTGAGTCTGGCTATCAATTTATGCAGTAAGTGTAAGCACGGACTTTAATTACAATTAAATCCCGTGGTGCAAGCTACTTTCCTTTACCACCAGTTTCAGCAAAACTCAACATTTAAACAAAAGAATAGTATTCTACTAAATTCACCAGAAAGGGCGATTATCAAAATTAGTGGCATTTGAACTTAGCTACAGAGTTAACTGTCAATTGTGCAGAAACGTTATTCACCGCTTGCATTGAGATTATTTGTCTAACGACCGTTATCTTATCAAACATTACCGACAAAAGGAAATAGGATGTAACAGAGATTTACAAGTCTTACATCTTGGTCCGGATATATATCTGGCTGCAAATCCAGTTCTCGTGACGCTATAATCCGAGATAAAGGTAACAGTCATGTTGCTATCAGTAGTGACGTAATTCGGGGTAGACGTACCACAGAACGTTCCTAGTGACGTAGCGTTTACGTTATCACCTATAAAAGCATACATTATAAAAAGGTATAACTATATTAAATATGTTGATATAAGAATGACTTAATTTAACAATTTTGCCGTGTTGGGCTTTCTTTAGGGATTCTGTTTTTCTCTATTTTAAGGGGAGCGGTGCCCTAGTAGTTAAGATGTCTGCCTCTCAACCAATGGGTTACTGGTTCGAAATCTGTCACAACGCATCCCAGGTTCAAACGAACTTTGGGTCCATCTACTATCATCTGCTATTGTTATCCGACTTAATATATTGTTATTCTTTTTTTTAGTTTACCATTGACATAAATCTCATTCATTTCTATTTATTTAGATTTTATGACCACAGTGCGGCCGTTTGTCCGATGTTGAAAACTTGTGTAACTCGTTTTTGTGGTTAAAATTGACGTACTTTGGTGTTGGACCCCTAAGTACGTTACACACTTTGCTGTGGGACCCAAAAGTGCGTTTGATTCCATACAGCAGTGTTATAGAGACCTACCCAAGTTTTGGTTTTCATATGACAACAGTACTGGCTCGCTCCGTGAAGCTGGCTCAGAAGTGATTATATAATTTTCAAAATCTTGTTTCACTATCGACCGTCAGTAAATATGTTTCAACTAAGCTAATGGCTTACTAATCCTACGCTTCTTTCAAAGTCAACCCACCCCTTTGTTAATTTTTTTGTTTATATACTTTATTATTCACAGGACTTGAATGATTTTGCAGCTTTTACGGCAGTCAATTTAGATAAAAAAAAAAACAAGACAGGACAATTACTATATCAGCAGCAGATATGACCTACCATCGAATACCTCGCCGTAGTCGTTGACACATTTGGCATGATACTCTATATCTGCTTCAAAAACCTCCAGTCTGATAGCGTGACTACTGTCGTCTGCTTCTATACGCCATTCACACGACTGTTGACTTAAATAATAGACAATTGTTGTTGTTGTTACATGCATATAAACCGTGTTATGACAAAACCAACATAATGCGTTTGCGACCAGCATGGATCTATACCAGCCTGCGCATCCGCGCAGTCTGATCAGGATCAATGCTGTCCGCTTACCAACTGTATAACAAGTAGAGAAACTGATAGCGAACAGCATGGATCCTGATAAGACTGCGCGGATGCGCAGGCTGGGCTGGATCCATGCTGGTCGCAAACGCATTATGTTGGTTTTGTCATGACACGACTCAATTATATCTATGTGCAATCTCGGATGACGGATAATCCATCTTCCAATGAAATATGGTTTTCTTTTGTACGTTGCCGAAATCGTATATGAACATATATCAGTTATAAATGCTGTTTGATTTTTGTCATATCTCGACTGTCCTTCTACCTAACCAATATTCCTTGATAACTAAGTTGTAGTTACGAGCTTCTTCGCAAGTGAATGATGACTTAACCCTCATAATTACCGAATTAGCAATGAGACACATAACCATTAGACTCAATGAATGAGGTCAATAGTCACAAAGAAATTACGCCTCGCCTTAGGATCGAACCATTGACCCTGTATCACCATTTCGATGCTGTCCCTATTGATCTAAGATATAAATAATAAAAGATTGATTAAAAACAGTATGAGAGTATATATTATGTGAGTGATATATATAATAATACGATGAAAACTTACTTGCTATAAGATGTAGGATAGTTAGGAGATGTAAAGTTCTGGTATGTACTGTTTGCAGTCAAGACAAGAGCTGTTCCACCACACTGGCTATACACTGAAGTGCAAACGAAAATAAAAATCAAACAATGTGAATCTTAAATATTTTCCAGAAAACATATAGTGACACATGCTGATATTTTAGAGTCACATTTGCATAATAAAGGTCATATACCAACTTAAACGACGGGGATACCTAGCTGTCCCGGCTTGCATTGTTTCAGGCAGGAGGTTCCAGGAGGTATAGCGGTGTAGAACAAGCTACCGATGCGGACTAGCTTCCAAACCTGGAAAACCTAAGTCCCATGACGGGCTACAATCTACAGTGGTGATAAATAAATGACTCGCTCGACGTGTATGACTTCAGACAATCATTTTATTATAATACATGTATATAAATATAATTTACTTAGAACAAATAGGTGTTGAGTTATATAAGGAGGATGTACCTGTGGTAACAGTGATGGAGAGCACGAGCAGGTATAGTAGTATTGTTGACGTCATCATGACGAGGAAATCTCTAGAGACCCCTGGTACTGATCACTGTCATCACATACCTGTAAACAAAGCAATCCTGACAATAATAGTTAGTGTATTGTTTCATCCGAGTGTCTCGTATAGTTTTAATAAATGATTTATTTTTTATGATAAATTTACAGTATTTTGATTAGTTTACAAAATATGTCATTATAGATAGATATATTTCAATATAGCTTTTATACATAACTAGGAAGTTATGTCATTGTACAACTGAATGAGTGACAAAGCTGAATTTTGTTCTGTGTACCAAGATTTATTAAAGATGAAAAATTAAAGATTATAAATTATTTGAAGTCGTAAATACTATAAAAATAAGAAATTAAAACATATTAACTAAGCATTTGTAAAGAGAGCAGGACGAAACATAACATATTTTATATTGGATCAATCACATACATATAAATATATTTTATCACGTCATCATGTATCAATATCAATATCGATATCAGTACCAAATGATAGAAAATCAAGTTTATTGTATACAGAGAATGAACTATGCAAAGAGAAATACTAGCTTTAATTTTTTTTATAAAGATTCCATATAATTATGTAATAACCTGATTCCAATCACACTTATTTATCCTTTTCTTTGTTTCGTGTTACAGTATCATAATTATTATAATACTTTCCACTGTTATGCTTTTCATAATGTAGACATTTAAATTGTTTATTATAGTGGTATGTGCCACATCATACAATATATGTATTTATTGAAAATTTAAACCAATCAATCAGTTAACACCCGGCCTAATGGGCCTATAAGTCACCTTAAACAATAAAACATATTTAGCATATGTGCATGATTTTTAACAAAAGTTAAACATAAGAAATAAAACATCAAATACGGCATATTGTCAGCTGAACATGATACATATATAATGAAAACAAATATATAGATCTACAGATTTAGGGATAAATATGTATAAAACTTATCAGCCAATATAATGATCGGTGAACGGTACACGTACTGTTTATACCAACAAACCTTTGTCGAAAGTTAAAGACTTGTCAAACATGAAATACAATAACAACTTCGCTGTTTTCAATACTCGACCTCCTCTCATTTATGTTTCTTATATTGTACTTTTATTATTTTTTACTAATCGATTATATATATTCGATGCAATATTAAAATGAACACGTGGGATGCTTATATATTAATTAGGTGTTAATAAATCATCACTGTTGGTATTATTTATGTACGTTCATTTTATGTCAACAAATTCTTCACATTTTTTGTTCCGTTTTATACCATCGGATTGGGCAGGGCATTAATAATGTGAATGATATACTGAAGGGCATGAGTGACCATTATCAGACACTATATGGTCTTAGTAATACAATAACTGTAACAAAAAAAAAACATCGGACATCCGTAAAATACATGTTATTTATTTTAAAACGTACGATGAAAGCAAGCACAGAATTTGAATAAAACCCGATTAAGTTAAATCGGGTTAACAAAAACATGTGCCCGATTTAGAATATCAATAAAGCGTTACACAAGAATAGTAAAGGTATATAATGGTCAGATCAAAGTACGAGAAATTTATATTCATATATCATATGTTCATCTTGTAACTAAATGTAGCAATCTTGACAGAAAGGTCCATGAGAAGAGAGTTTGTTTTTTTCTGCGTAATAATACAAACCCGTTAACTTTCACACTTTAATTTATTCTATGTTCAATCGTTCCATTATATTTAAGAGGAATATGTAAATGATAAAGATATATATTTAACTGTTTTAATAATGTGATAATTAAAACAAAATGACATTTTATAGGTTATTTTACTTTCAAATTATTTACCAGTCCTGTCCCCGATATAACATTATAAGACACTATACAAAATGAAGCACCGCATGCGTATGATTTTCGGAAGAGGAAAACTGCTCGAGTTATATTTCAACAAGTCCACAGATGAGTGTGGGCGCAACTTTAATAAAACAAAATCAACCAAAGTGATTTAATTCATTGCAATAGAATAGAGAATAGTACACTCGTGTGATCTTTTTTTTATTATAAGATGTAAAATATTTGAACTATAAGGATATGTGTATTAACATACATCGCGCCTTGAGCAAAACAATGTATGAAGTGCCATTCTGTATTACTTTCTTCAGATAAAGTGACAAGAAAACGTATAGGTATAAAATTAAATGATATTTATGTATTCTGAATAAACAAATATATATAATTATGTACTCACCTACATTAAATGTTCCACAACACATTTAAACACCTGAATGTATTTTCGGTTAATCTTTTTTAAAAGTGTTAGCATAAACCTAATAATCGCAATTAATCTTATGTACAGGCTGCATGCCATTAAAATATATATTATTTGTGGAATTAAGGTCAATCTTACATACAAACCATGTATTATACAGTTAACCGGAGCTCAAACTTAAAGAAAAAAAAAACTCCTTTAAAAAGAGATTTTATTCCAACCTACTTATAATTATGTGGATCATTTTAGGACTATCTATGATAATGATTTTTTTACAGTTTTATGAAGGTTGTTTTGCTTTATATGAATTTATTTTTAAATATATATCGGAGGAGACAGTACACTCACCAGTTTCATAGTATCATATATAAAAAGAATGACACAACAAAGAAAAAATGCCTACTTCATTGAAGACCTTCTAATAATCTGTTTTCATAACAGCAAGAATGTTGTCTTAATAATAATAATAATAATAATAATAATAATAATAATAATAATAATAATAAGAAATAATAATAATAATAATAATATTGTTTCCAGTCTAGTAATTGATGACATAATATGTCAGTTATGAAAATGATAATGCTCCAGTAAAGCCATAGATGACATTGCTGTTAATATGATATTATTCTTCGTATCGTAGCCATTGATGACAATATGTGTCGAATATGATATAATTGAGGAATTCTAGCTAGGAGTTTCAGTAAAATTATGATGTCAAAATGAAAGCTTTGTTTAGTCTTGTGAGTTATCGTATTGAAGGATGATAAATATGATTTTATTTTTCATGTCAGTCTGTGTTATTACCCCTCACTTTTTTCGTAATATTAATTTCCCATAGGCCTCTGGGAGTTATTCTTACTGTTAATGCAAGTGTACCACGTGACTAAGAATTTTGTTCTGTTAAATAGGTAACGTAACAGTATTTCTAACAGTATAAAATCTGGTCACGTGGTCTATTTTCTAAATAAAATGGCCGCCATTTTTCTCTTGATTCATTCTTATTTTCGACGGTAGGGCCTAGGGCATCACCAAAGTAACTACGACTCTCTTAAAATTGAGTTCTTTGCACCCTAGAGTTCTTTTCGCGTATTAAATATCTTTTGTTGAATATTCAAAAAGTAAACATCCGTTTTCAATGGAAGTTATTGTAATGTGAATAATTTTTTTGTTAAACTGGAACGATTAAAGCATGCAACAAAGGATTATTTAACATTTTTTTACCAGTGAAACGTTACAGATAGAGATGGTTGACAGACATCTGTAGGATATCATCGTTATTTTGTAAATGCACTTTGTCAAAAACCATGCGCAGAATATTCTGGATACGGAAGGATCAGATTTCACAGATCATAACCTTATAAATGGGTTAGTATTTTGTTTTCTAAATAAAACACCGCTTATTGTATGTTTTATGACTGGTAGATATCATCCCTTGCTAAATAAATAAAAGAAAAACAGCTTCTCGAGTAGGCCTACAGCACACTTAAAACTTGAAAGGTAAGGACAGTTTAGTTATTGCTACTCTTGGTTTATTTTTATTACAGTTAGACTTTAATTTAGTTTACAAATTCAGATCATCACAGTATTTGTTCGGGGTAATAAAATAAATAACACATGGGTTTGTGGGTAACAGTAAAAATGTTATCCCTCGTAAAAATACTGTTACCCTCGGCTACGCCTTTTCCTATGCACATATAATTTTTTTCTGTCATCAGCTCTTACTGGCGATTTGGGCTGGCAACCAACTTTCAGTCGACAGATAATAAGTGGCACATATTGTGTAAGATGACAAGGTCTAGGAGAATCTATAAAGTTTTCTCATTCAGTTGGTATTACAAGATGTAAAAACTGGTGTTATAATCTTGAGTGTACAGCATTTTTTTGTAATATTGATAATGAGCTATAGAAAAAAGGTATGTATCTAGAACTATGCAATTGCAAATATTTATATATTTAATTGGAATGTTTATGTTACATCTGAAAGAAATAGAAGCGGGGTAGGTGTCTGCGCACATATAGGCTGTTCAAGGCAACCTTTAGAACTGAGGAATAGTGCACGTTGCCGCCACAGGTCCGAAGTCAAATATTTTTTTTTTCTTAGGTATTCAGCAAAAAAACAATACATAGTATACAAACAAAAATTTTACCAATATAGTCACAAAACAATATTTATGACTGTTTATATATTCCGTTAATAAATATATATAAAACACAAGCTTCTTTATTGTGGTTATGTCACTTGTACATGATTAGTTATAAAGATTTTCGACAGGTTATATGGCCCTATATAAACAGTTGTTTGTAAATATAACCCGAACCGCTAGTCGAGGGTTATATTTCAAACAACTGTTTATATATGGCCTTATAACATGTCAAAAATCTTTATAACGAATTTGTAATTGAGCAAGCATCATTTTTTAATGAAAAAAGTGAGTTTGCTTCATAAATTGATAGCAGCCGTGTATTTAAAACTTTATAACTAATAATATAAACGTCACGATTATCGAATGAAAAGTGACGTTACAAACGTGCAGTATTATAAATTAATACATAGAGACCATGCAGTTCTTTTTCGCAAATATATAAAATGAATAACTAATGTTCGCGAATATGATTGCATTTTTACATATTAAGAAAGCATGGAAGTCACAATCTATATATGTTATCTTTAAGGAGAAATTGGAGACAGACGTTGATAGGCTATTATTGTGCCTGCCTAGTTTATGGTTGTAACAACTATCATTACAAAACGTCTATCTATGTTTAAATGGTATTTCTACTAATAGGTATCGATCATTCTATATTTAAATTTATTAAAGTGGAAACACTGACTAGAATTCGTTATATGTTCTTGCCATTGTTGAAGTACACAAGTCAATAAGTCTCTGTTTAAAGGATTCGAGAAACATTTTGATGCCACCAATTTCCTGAGGTATCCAAACAAATTCAAAACCATACCTACACAGAACATGTTTTACTTTAGTGACCCAACATATTCGAGCTACTTTGTCTAGAGAATTCAGCATTAAATAACACTGTTTTAGATATCTAGATATAGGTATGGTCAAAAGGTTTCAAAACATCTTATGCAGTTTGTCATATACGAAATACTTAAGGTCAATCTACCATATCCTCCCTTAACCATAGCTGAATTTGTAGTTTTTGGGTTGTTATTTTTACAAATTAAAGTTTTCGACAAAAGTCTTTACAAACTAATTCAATATTGTGACTATATTCAGAACCCCATATTCGTTACAAATAAAAAAATATATAAAAAATCTCAGATCTCACCGAGCCAAAACTTTTATTATCTGTAACTTTAGAAATAACTAATTCAGTTTTACTTAAGGTAAAAGAAAAAAAAAGAAAAATAGTGACCATGCAGAAAATACATGTTCGTTTGGTACTTTTGTCGCGTTCACGTCACTAATTAGTTAATTGAAATAACCATATCTTTCCTTGGAACAAATGCTCTTACTCCTCATATCATTTTGTGGTTTGACTTATTTCAATTATTTCAAAAAACGTATGGCATGGAGGCTGTGCATTACGTTATATCTTTTTGCACGTTGATATTCGATTCGAATTTCTGTTTTTCTGACAGAATATTTAAACTTCATTACGACAAATTTTATATACTCTTGTCAGTGATGCGTGTTATCACAAATTAAAATCAAGCTTATCACATATAGATAATATGTGATTATAGCAGCAGACTACATATGTTTTGTGTCCTTTATTATCAAAATGAATGAATTTAGCTATTTGCTATCTCAATAGGTTTTGTAAAAGCAGTATAATGAATCATTGCATTTACTGATTCCATGTTACCCAAATAAATGCGCCTCATCAACGTAAAACTGTTTGTTTTGGTTTTAGTTATATAGCATGTTACTTTTAGATCATTTCAGCCAAAACTCTTTTCATAAGATGTTTTTGATTACCTACACCAACTGTATACAATGTTTCAGTAACAATATAGATACTATTGTCGTTAATGGCGACATTATTAGCTTGTGTTATAATTCAGGTGCAGGCAGTAATATAATATATCAAATGCGGTAATACTGCTGCAGTCTAATCAGAAAATCTGTTGCCCGAGAAAAATAAGTGTCCAGCATTAATGTAACAGCCAAACTTCACCTTCACATATAAAGACAAAATAGCATGATGAATATATTATATCATTTTGATTTATTTTCAACATAACAATGCATCATACACTTGAGTTATTATAAAAACATAATAAATATTAAAAACATAGAGCATCTATAACAATGTTATCTGAAACATTAAAAGCACATTTCGTCATATTAACTTCAACCTTAAAAACTGTATAAACATTAAAACATTTTCTTATACATTCGTATACGCAATTAAAATTTCTTATAAAGGTAGTGCTCAACTTAAATTTCTTCATAGCTTTTTAAATTTCTTTTTAAAATATTAACGTCTCACTAAATTCTCTTAAAATAATGATAAAATATTTAAACAAAAGTCAAATCTTAGCACTCGGAAGACGCTAGTAGATTTCTTAAAAGCTTAATACTTTACACCAACTCTGAATCTTACATTTATGAAACATTATTTTAAAGCCCCATATATAATACTAAATAACAACATGTAAAACTTCTTGAAAACATTTAACAAGTGTAAGAACTAATATAACATGTATCAATACGTCAGTCACTTTAGAACTATGCAAATCTATAAACTTTGATTATATAGTAGAAATAAGTAAAAATATGATAACAAATAAAGGCACATAACTGGTTTAAGAATATACAAACTTGCAATTTCAATCCATAGAAAAATTATAAAACGCGGTTTAAAATACAGTGTCTGCAAAATATCTTAATGATGAGACAGAACGATCTAATATCGCTTACAGGTACCAGCTATAACAAATCTGACTCTGAAGGAAGGATACTATCTTGTAATCATATTTCATTATTAGATTTGGAGCACGTTAGATGATTAGCACGCGAAGAAAATTTACAGAACAATAAAATTATAAAAAATGTTTAAATGAAAATAATGGGCACAATAACATTCACAAAAATTTGTACACTGTATTGATTCCAGTGTAATATATCAATTGGTACTGATATATTTGATTCACCTTTATATAAAAATACAACTTCTTAATTAATGAACCTTTATATATAGAAATACAACTTCTTAAAATGACATGAAAAGTGTCTGTTTGTTAATTATTTCACTTTAAAATGATGATAAAAAAAAATGTAATTGCTTCAATATACCGTGTTTAAGATAAATTAAAATTTTCTAAAATGGTATCAGATGCAAAAGGGCGGCATCATCGCCATATAAAACAAAGCTTATCTTGCTTCTGTCTAAACTAGGATCTCGCTGAATTAAACATAAACATTGAATCACTCTAGTTAGTATCCTGTACAGGTAAAGGTGGAAGTGACATTTCTGATACAACTGAGATATTATCATCGATGTCTTGCACGTTAGGTCCAGGGGAGACAAATCCATCCGCCGATAGATTACGGGAGGTAACTGTGCTATCTTGAGCGGACTGAGACAAGCCATCAGTTGTTTCCCTTTGAGATTGAGTATGTGTGTTATTTTGACAAATGTTAGATGTGACCCCAACTCTATCAGAGGAAGTAGTTGAAATCGGTGCAACTGCTGAAGGAAGACTATCAGTTTGGCCTGGCAAATTGATACCAGCATTATTGTCATTGGTACCCGAACTATTTCCGGCAGTATTGAGTAAAGCCGGGTTTAAAGTTTGTAAGGAATCAGTTGTACTTTGAGCTACAGATATTGGCCGTCTGCCGGCTGAATGAGTGATTGCTTGTATATTACGTAAGCTACTTGTCATCATAAAATGTGTGTTTGCAATCGTATCTGTTCTCTCCCGTTGATTTCCTTGAGTTTGTTCTGTTTCAGCTGCCTGATTATCAGCCATATATTCCCGGCGACCTGGTAGACGTTCAGAGGGGTTCACATTTGGATCTATTTCACTATACTGTGGTGGGGGTGACATTGGGGATGAATAAATCTCCCCGTAAGCTGGAGGAGCCGGTCCGTCAAGGTAACTCCACCCACCTCCAAAACTAAATGGCTCGACACGTGCCATACCACGGTGTAAATGGGGGTTCCTCCGCATCTCTTTCGCTTTCTTGGCCTGTATATAGGTATATACCATTGTCATTACAACAATGATAAAAACAACAGAGCCGATAGAAGCACCAACAATGGCCAGCATATTGACTTGTTGTTCATCATCTTCCTTGTCAAGTAGACTTGCTGAAATTACAATAATACTATCAGTATGTTATGCCGTCTTTATATTATGCCTTACAATAAAATTTCTTTCTTCTTTTCCAAATGATAAATAAACTTGTCAAATGGTTATAGTCCAGTCATTTATTATTGTAAAATGTTTCCATAAAACTCATATACAAAACAATGTTATATAAATATCAATAGTTTAACACTTAAAAAAGCTTAAACTAACATAAGCGGAGAAAATAATTCAAATCTGCTCTTTTGGTTTTATTGTGAGCAATTTAGGTTAGTTTGGAACAGTATTTGTGTATATTATTCGAATTTGACAATGTTATCATTTTCAATGTTTTCTCTTGCAATTCTACTTTATACAATAACTGACGGTTGGATTAGGTTTTGAACTCTAAAATGCTTTATCCGTTGAAGTCATAAGATAAGCAAATTATTTTTTTAATTATTTCCTTGCTTGAAATCATTGAAACGGTGGAAGTTTAAAGTACATTATTATTGTTGAGAATGCTATAAACTATATTGTGTAGATGTTATACACATAATGTATGATTAACAAAATCTAATTAATCAAAACAGCACATTGTATAAAAATACCAATATAATCTTAAATGAAAATACAAAAAGATTTGAATTCTAAATCGCGTCCACGAATATGCACTCTTATTTGGATCTCTTATTTATGTGCAAATATATATGTCATTACATTGCTGTTTAAGGGGCATATGGAATTTTGGCTAGCCTGGTGTAACACACTTAATGCAACACCGAGGATCAACTCCACCTTACTTGCTGGAGATCAAAGTTACACAAACTCCAGTACTTCGATCTTGTGTAAGCATAAACTACAAGAAAGCCACTTGTACCACGTGGATCAAATATCTCATAAGCCGACTCGAATTTGTCATTAGCTTCAATCTTGATTTCGAACACTTTTTAACAACACCAATTAAAGTCATGTAATTCAGACCAAAACACTCGTCACATTTATCATGTCATCGTGGTAAAATCATGACTGCGAGTAAAAACCTAGCCAACAGTTAAATTTTACTTCACATTTGAGCCGCGTCACGACAAAACCAACATAATGGGTTTGCGACCAGCATGGATCGAGACCAGCCTGCGCATCCGCGCAGTCTGATCAGGATCCATGCTGTTCGCTATCAGTTTCTATACTTGTAATAGAATTGGTAAGCGAACAGCATGGATCCTGATCAGACTGCGCGGATACGCAGGCTGGTCTGGATCCATGCTGGTCGCAAACCCATTATGTTGGTTTTGTCTTGACTCCGCTCATTTGTATAATACACGAGTCAATTGTAACGGCGGCTATCAAATACACGGGAAATTGGCTGTACTTTGATATCAAACCCCTGTTAAAGGGGAGATGATAAAACCTCTGCTTTCACACTGAGAACACTTTCTGCTACCTGGACATAAAACAAAACAATTGACCCTGCAAGCGTGTGCAACTTAGCTATTTTCCTTCGCTTTCCTAATGGCGGGGCGTTGTTACCATTGAATTGTGCATAAACCTAACAAAAGTTAATATTAAAATGATAAATCTTACATCTTGGACCTGACTTGTAGCGTGCCTTAAATCCTTTTGCTGGTAGACTATAATCCGACTTGAATGAGACAGCCATGTAGTTGCCCGTGCTGACAAACGACGGGTTATCTCTGCCACAAAATTTGCCTAGAGAGTCTGCCGACACATTGTAACCTACAAATAACAAAAGTCCCGTTAATTCAACCATTTGTACCATATTTAGGGAACTAACGACTCTTCTAGCTTAATTATTATTATATTTTTATCAATTATATTTAAAGTTATATTTTTCGATAAAAAACCAGTTGGAACGATATTAATAAATCTATAATCAAATCATACATGCACGGACTTTTTATGAATTACAACACAAACAACAACAACAACAACAACAACAACAACAACTGAAAGCGTAACTGCATCTTTCATTTCCGCCATTTTGACGAGCTTTATTTCTATTTTAAAAACCTGACTGGTATTAATTACTAAAGTTTTGAACTAGCCATGTTTCTACGCGACAAGGATATTTCACGTGTAATATAACACACGCGGTTTACTTGAAAGCAGTAATTACTTCAAAAATCAATCTGTCGCGACTTGTATTTTGTTACGTGATATCAGGTTAATATGAAATAAACGATCATGATGTTTACAGAACAAGAGTTGTCAAAGAATTTAATACGAGCTACATTTTAATTACCATTGTTTTTTAGTACTAAAACAAAAATCCTATTATAAAGTGAACATTGAATTTTACCAGCAACGCTTTCGACTTACATGTATATGTACAAAAATAATGCTGATATGATTACAAAATGTACTTTCCATATAAAAGATTGGAATAAACAATTACGGGTTGTGAGTGACGTCGTCGCTAAGTGATTGGCGGTTTGGGCTAGTATTCGAAGCACTGCCGACCGCGTGGGTTCAAACCCCCGTCAGAAAATTTTCACGTATTGCTACACAATCGAACTAAAATAATCTGTTTAAACTAATTTGGGGTAAGTAAACATTTTGTTTCTATAATAGCGCTTACAATGAACAAACCATGTTTCACGTCGGCAAAGATCCCCCACAAATCATTATCGTAACTGGAAACATGTATCGCGTCCGGCAAACATATCAAAACTATGGCCCTAACTGATAACATAACACTCTGCATTATTACGGACCAGAAAACATGTACAGTGTTTGGTAAAGAGAACAAGTTATCGCTTCCTTTATATCATGAACGCAATAAGATGGTACCGGATTTGGCATTAGGATCACCCTGTAACGAGCTCATTATTCTATACATGCAGACTAGCACATAAAAACTGCGTCTTACCACGCCCATTGACATATATCATTGAAACATGTACCATCATGTACGGCATACATATATATATCATTGAAACATGCACCACGCATATCGTACATATATCATTGAAACATGTATGTCCGGCATGCATATATCATTGCAACTTGTACCACGTCCATCATGCATATATTATCGAACCATGTACCACGCCCATCATGCATATATCATTGAAACGTGCACCGCGCTTGTCATAAAAATATCATCGAAACATGTACCGCGCCTATTATACATTATATCATCGAAACATGTACCGTGCACGCCCAACATACATATATCATTTAAACATGTACCACGCCCAACATGCATATATCATTTAAACATGTAACACGCCATCATACATATATCATCGAAACATATACCACGCCCACCATACATATATCATCGAAAGTGTACCACGCCCACCATTCATATATCATCGAAAATGTACCACGTCCACCATACATACATAATCAAAAATGTACCACGCCCACCATTCATATATCATCGAAAATGTACCACGCCCACCATTCATATATCATCGAAAATGTATTAATGTGTTTCAAATGTATTAATGCAAGCTTATTAGATAAATGCTGAAAAAAAGGTTACCGTCGAAAACTTCACCGTGGTCATACACACAGCTAGCATGGTATTCTATTTCTGCATCAGTTATTTCCATCCTTATAGCATCTGTTATATTAGAAGCTTCAATCCTCCATTCACACTGCTGGTTACTATAATAGAAATAGAAATAATTTGATAGTGCAATATATTCGAGTATTTATACATCAGTTTTCAGTCCTTATATAGAGTGTGATGACAAGTTACTTATTAAATGTTAATGTACCTAACTATGTATCACATACCTCAATAAGTACCACATATCTAAATATGTACCACATTTCTTAATATCTACACACACCTCAGTATATACCACATACCTCAATGTGTACCACATATCTAAATATGTACCACATAATTATCTCAATATCTACACAAACCTCAATATGAACTGCATACCTCAATATGTACCACATACCTCAATATGTACCACACATCTCAATATGTGCACATATATCAAAATGAACCACATACCTCATTATGTACTACATATCTAAATATGTACCGCATATTTCAATATGTTCCACATATCTTAATATATACTACATACCTCAATATGAACTGCATATATCACATTATGTAATGTCTTTCATCTACACGTATTTTGTGATAAAGGCTGAAGTAAACAATCTTAAAGAACACTGAGTTTTTAATGTGAAGTCCTTATACCCAGAGCTAATGATAGTTTTAATATAAAATATATGACGAAAAGTAGAGGTTAACACATTTAATACAAGTAATAAATGTAACTTGAAAGGGTTAACGAACTTTTAATATAAGTATGGCAATTAGATTCTCAATTAGTTTGATTAAAATAAAAAAATGTCTAATTATATGATTTCAACGTTGACTTTTATGAAATTTCGCATCGTATTTGATAGTTATGTAATTAAGATTCAGATCAAGCAGATTCTAGCTTCTAGGATTTTAAAGCCATAACTAAAGATTTAATACGATGTAACTAACCATATAGAGGTATACATACATGTTGGCTAATAAAGGACCGGCTGGGTAGTTTAAATTGAAGTGAATTAACGCTGATTTTATGCTGGTAGCTGCTAAATCACGGGGACCATTCGTGTCCTCTAAACTTATGTACACAATACTGAAATTAGTTTAGAAAAACAATCATAATAATTTTTTGTTAATGTAGTCCAAAAACCTTACCATTGCTTATTTTGATTCGTATCAATCATTCTACATCATTTAACATATTTATAATCAGTAGTTATTATCTAGTCTGATCGTTTACTGATTGCAGTCATCTGTTAGATACGTGCGACAACATGCGACAAAAAATGAAATCAGAGAATTTAAAGTAATATAATATCTGCCTCATTATAACTTACCTTTTCAATATACCATTATGTCATGCTAAGTAACAATTAGGAAATTTCATTACATTATGTATAAGTTGGCCGTATCATCATGAAATAGGTGTTACATTTTTATAGCAATATATCATACAAAAAGTGAGGATGGACACTAAGCCCGAGTACTTAGGATAGTTGTTAGTGTGTTCGTGTAATGAAAATGATGTTTCGAGTTAAAATCTGCAGATATGTAACGTTGCTGATATAAATCGTTCCGTTATTTCCACTGTTCAAAACGTTATGCGTATTGACCATTTCGTAAAATGCACACTTTATTACATTTTGTACATATTTTATTGCGTTATACATATTGACCTTTCCGTTGTATGCACACTTTATTGCGTTTATCATTTTGTTATACACACTTTATTACGTTATATGTGCACTTCTCTACGTTATATAAACATAATTGAGCCGCGTCATGACAAAACCAACATAATGGGTTTGCGAATTATCGTTTTGTGACATGTACACTTCATCACGTCATGCATATTGATAAGTTTGTATACCTAGCATTATTACGTTACGTGCATTCTTAATAAGATGTTGTCTATCAGTCATTTCGTACAGTGCACACTTTAATACGTTATGTACATTCCATTTCGTTATGTGTATTTTGATCATTTCGTTTGACTCACACTTTATTATGATTTTTGGTTACGTGTACTTTATTTTGAAATGCGAATCAATCATTTGTTACATGAACACTTCATTTAAATATGCCTAACTAATGTATAAGACATTTTATTTCATGCAACCTTCACAACGTGCATATCAATCATTCATTCCATGCACACTCCATTACGTTATATGTATCAATCATTTTATTGTACGAACACTCCATTATGCTATGTGCATAAATCATTTCATTGTATGTGCACTCCATTACGTTATGTGCATAAATCATTTCATTGTGTGCAAGCTACATTACGTTATGCGTATAAATCGTTTCTTTGTATGCGCACTCCATTACGTTATGGGTATAAATCATTTCATTGTGTGCACTTCATTTTGTTATGCGTATAAATCGTTTCTTTGTATGCGCACTCCATTACGTTATGGGTATAAATCATTTCATTGTATGGGTACTTCATTTTGTTATGCGTATAAATCGTTTCTTTGTATGCGCACTCCATTACGTTATGGGTATAAATCATTTCATTTGTGCACGCTACTTTACGTTATGTGTATAAATCGTTTCTTTGTATGCGCATTCCATTACGTTATGGGTATAAATCATTTCATTGTGTGCACGCTACATTACGTTATGCGTATAGATTATTCCGTTATGTGCACACTGTTTCAAGTGATACGTGTCACGCTTAAGAAAAGGAGTATAGACATCAGTCACCCTTAACGTTATATATCAAGATTGTAAGTTGAAATTTGTACCAACCTGAATGTATAAAGGTAGCAAGAATAAATAGCACGTGCAGTCCATTTCCTGATTTGTCCCCATCATCACGTGATAGCATCATATACCACTGCTGTGTGTCATAAAGTTGATTACTGCTTTGTTAATTACTCTAGAAAAAGACGACATTTAATTCTTATAAATCACTGTACAATATATTTAGATATCAGTTTATAGCGGATATTTATACAACGACCAGACTGATATATTTAATATTGTTGACCATGTACACTTTGATAGCTTTAAAACTTTGTAATACGTATGTTTATATTTAAACAAGATTTAATATATTTGAAGACAAAGTAGTTCAAAGTGTCTAACGAGTTGGCGTATTTGTTCAAGTTTTATAAATTAGTGTACATTATATACGCAGATAACGGAAAACAATTTTTAAAGGAAATCAATTCTTTCTTCCTTCGTGTTATAAACTTACAGTTCATAATAAAATAACAACAAATATTTCAAAATGTCAAACTTCCAACTGTTTTGATTATTTGCACGTCAAAAGGGAGATATAAAGTGCAGATCTGATTTTAACACACCGCGTAAACTATATTTCAATTACATACATATTGAATTCAAATATACAAACCACCTAAAATAAGTTGCTTTGATAAGTTAATTTCCCGTTACTGATATCTAATGAATATATCACCAAACTTTCTGTATTTGATTTAAAGTTTTATTTTTATTGATAATGTAACATTGAAGGGAGGATAACACATTTTGATTGTATCATTTTTAAGCTAAATAGTCAAATTTGTTTTGTCAAGTTTTAAGTAAAACAGCAATGAGGGTCGATTTTTTTGTTTGACTGTACAATTTATCAGTTTAAACATTTACTTAAGCTCGATTGCGAAACAAGTTCTTGCAACTGATATTAATCACTTTCGAGTGCGCTTCCTGGAACTAACCAGTACTGGTGTCATATGAAGAAACATGGCCGTCTCCCGAATAGTGCTGGAACCCATGATCCCTGGGTTGAGAGGCAAAGACCTTAACCACCAACCCACCGCCCCCCTTACTATACAATTAATTGATTTCACCTTAAGATTTATTGATTTCATCTTAAAAACTATTGGACAAGATACATGTATAGTGAAGCATAGAATAAAACTGCATGTCTATATCGTACAATGGTCTCTAGGGAACTTGTAGTATAAGGAAATGGAAAGGAAGGGTGAGTTTTTTTTCGTAACTTTGGTATGATAATTACGTGCTGCATTTAATCATATGATGCGCTCTCTTTCGTTCTCATATTCATGTAATATTTGTTGTTTATAGTTTTTCTTTATTGAACGGTTGATTATACTGGTTCTAGAAATGTATATGTAAAATAAAAAAAAAGAGAACTGATATCCCGAACACACCGGCTTTAATAAATACAGGTAAACACGAGTTTTACATTAAACAATACTACAATTGTCTATTTTCACTGGCCAATTATAATCTGATAATGTTTATATCATCTACATCGTGTCTTCTGCAGACTTGTATTATTTCTATATTTATTTAAAAACAATAAAAAAAACATGATAAATTCGGAATATATAACACTTGGCAACGTATATGACCATGACTACTATATAACCATAGTGTAACAGTCTGGGTTATATCAACTGTTTTACCAGACCATATAGCCAGTCAACACGTCTTTAAAACATTATACTATATATCTAACGTACTAACTTCATACTTCACCACAGGTTATATACCGTGCTCTTATAGTTAGCATGTGAACATGTATATACAACGTTAATCATTTACGTTGTACTCTTATCAATGAAGATCAGCAACGTTACGTAAAATGTTACTCTTACATTTATATAAATAAGAAACATATAGTGTTGAAAATCACGTTACTTAATTCTAAAAAAGTACTTCTAGATATTTAAACTGTTAATTAAATGTAATTTTAGTCAATTCTAAAGTTAAACATAATTTTTATATTATTCATATATTGGTGGATGCATTACAAAAAAAATTGCGATTTATACAATGTTATTGAGCAAACTATTATCAAATAATAAAAATGTACCTGGCAGTTTCAAACTCCTTCAACATTCAATATATCAGTTTTATTTTATTTTTGTCAATGTCTGTGATTTAGGACACGCCTTAAGAATATTTGATATTTTGACAAACATATCTACACCCGTATACCGTTAATCCATTTTTATATTAATATACATTGAACTATAGTCAATAGCTTTCTCGTAACAACTAATCCTTGGTAAAATATCATTACAGTTTAAATTAGATTCTCTTTATATTTTAATCCGCCATTGTTATTCAATTTCAGTCCCGCTTTATACCGGTA